TCCAAGAAAAGAAGGTAAACATTTACACTCACAATATGTTGTCATGATAGTATAAGCCAATAGTGCTATCTGGAAAGAAAGAGGGTTCCTCATTACCTAAAAGAAAAATAAACATGCTCTTGAAATATTGATATTAATGCAGACTGAGGCCAAACCAAAGTAGATGATGATCATGCGCTGATTTGACCATCAGAAGATTAACACTTATGTAGCTCATGTACAGCAAACTGTGCATTGGAGCCCTAGTGGTGTGGCTTGAGTTAGATCAATACAAACCTCTTTGTACTGAGATGAATGAGAAACAGGCCAAAAAGTGGAGTTTTGACTCCTGGAGTAGCTCAAGATGAAATTCCCATGGGTTCATCCTCCTGCCTGAAGCAGTGGTCTGGCCCTACCTGAGAGTACTCACTATGGGAGGTATGTCTTGATAAGTTTCATCAAGCCCCATTTTTGTAAGGGCCGATAGACAAGGAAAGCAAAAGCTGAAAACTATGTGAATCACTGACTGTTTCTTACTGCCTGGTTCTAGTTCTTCATAAGTTCAAGAAAAATCCTTTTCTAATATTCTATGAATCATTTTAATGAGCTACCATGTTTTCACATAAACTAGTTAGACATAAATTATTCTTTTTTTAAACAAAATATTTGACTAACAAAGCTGTACTAAGAGCTTCAAAAATGAAAGATTTATATTCCCTATAGCGAGCCATCCATGGACTGTGTGTGTGAGCTATGTGCATTTGAGCTTATAAGGGGACTGGACTGGCGTTCTGTGCTTCTTGGGCTGTGCCACAGCATGTATGACTTTCCTCTTGCTCTACCTGTGATCCAATACAGCACCTGAGATGGGTGTGGCTTCCCAAGATGTCAATCAACCTGCGGGACCACAAGACATCACCACGCAAGCCTCCACCCAATCCCTTGTCTTATTTGGGTGGAATATTCTATGAACGGCTTTTCCTCAGTACATAGGGGGGTTTCAGGTGTGCTCTATCTCTTGCCTCTTGCCTCCCTTTCTCCTATTTCCCCCCAACATAGGAGCTGAGGTCTCAGAGACGCCTCTGACCCCCAAAAGGGTACTTCTGTGTTTGTGTGGTTTTTTTGTTGCTAGCCTGGCCAGCTGGTGACAGTTCTCCATGGAGATATAAGTAGATGTTTTATCTCCAAATTAAAAGTAATCCAATTGTATTGGATATGTAAAAGTATTCTATAGCTGAAACAATAAAAAAAATGTAGTGAAAGAAAAATTGTTACAGAAAATTGAGTTAATGAAATAGTAGTTTAGAAGTTTCTGAGAAATGAAATCACAGGATCATAGAATATGGTTATTTGATACTTTTGCTTTTGTTCTAAAGTAATGAAGTGATTTTCATATCCACAAAAATATATGAGAATATTTATTTCCCTCCACTCTCTTCAACATTGAATATTCCAGTTTTTAAACTTTACCAACTATGAATTAATGTTTTGACCACTTAATGATTGCAAAGTCTTTTCCTGTTCTTTAGAAATTTTTCATAATTATGAATTATTTTGTAAATGTTATAAAAGTATTACAAAAATACAGAAAACCACACAAATCATACCTATGAAGTTAGATGAATAATCATAAAATGTCTAGCACTGAGCAAGGAAAAGAATATTCCTAACATTTCAGGAGTTCTCTTATTTATCTGTCTAGTTACCACACTGTCCCCTAAAGGTAAATATTCTCCTGACTTCTGAAACCATAGATTAGTTTCATGTGTTTTTGAGTCTTATGTAATGAAACTTGAAATTTGTGTCAGGGTTTTCTTCTACTGAATATATGTTTCTGTAATTCTTTAATGTCTTCCAAGTATTTGTAATTCACTCATCATGACCGATATTTAGTTTCATCATTTGAAATGTGATAATTTACTTTTTTGGAGTATACACAGATGTTGCATTGTTTAATGGCTTTGATAAGTGTCCACCAGGGACTAATGTTTCAAGGCTTATTCCCCATCCCTTAATGATATTCAGAGATAGTGGCACTTTTAAGATGTAGGGCCTAGTGCACTAAAGTTAGGTCATGGTGGCTTGTACTTGAGAGGAATATTAGGACCCTGGCCTCTTCCTCTTCTTCTCTGTATACTTTCCAACTGCCTTGAGATGAACAACTTTGCTCTACATGTTCCCCACCATAATGTAAAGCCTCGCTACAGGTCCATAAGCACTGGGCTAAGACATCATGACTGAAACCATTGAAATCATGAACTAAAATAAAACTTTCCTCTTTATGGGTTGATTATCTAAGGTGTTTTTTTTTTTTGTCAATATCATAAATCTGAGTAATGTCGGAGTCCAGCTCCAACAGGGGATCTCAGGAGACAAACAGATGGTGAGGAGTCTGCGAAAGGGGGGTGGAGAAACAACACAGACACCAAAGTGAAGGTGCTGAGTCCCAATCTTTACTTATGAAGTTAATCATATATACTTTTCATTTTGGCAGGCTCACAGTACTTTGTGGTTACAAAACAGGAATTATTATTCAAAGAAACAAAATATTACATAGCTACAATTAGATAAGAAGAATGTATCTTGGCTTAGGCATAAGCAAGCATTTTTACTTTCAATTCGCGTTTTGCTTTGAGCTGTTTCTGCTTAGTTAGCTTTTAATAATAGGAATGTCCCATACTATTGGCCTATACCTTGACTATTCTTTCTTGACTTACTGACTAGAATTGGCGCCATGGTTATAGCAAGTGGTTAACTTGAAAAGAGAGGCTACTAATTTTAATCAAACAAGAGCAAGAGCACAAACCATTGTGCACAGGAACAAGAACAAGTTGCCCAGTACTAAGCGCTAATCTGTCTTCTTAACATTAAGTCTTCTTCTCTAGATTTTAATTTAATTTCTCAAAAACTTCCTTGACTGTTTTTCCTACAGGGTTTTTTTCATTAAACATTAACAATTTACGTTCCACAGATGAATCTTTGCATTTAGAGCAAACAGATTTATTCTTTAGAAGTAGTTGCATTAATTGGGAAAGTCATGTTTTTTCCTTCATACTTAATGGTCATATGAGAAGTCTCAACTATACTTATTAAAGGAATACAAAAACATACCAGCCATTCTGAGAAACATACTGTGCTCCTCCAGAGGATGGACGCCTTGTGCCATCCACCTCAGTAGGGCCTTGCCATTGCCTGAGTCAGGGGAGGAGCGCAGCAGAGTAACATAGTTTGTTCCCATTTGGTGTCCGTTATGAATGGTGCTACTCTTAAATGTTTATGATTTTAAATTCATCAATCTTTTCCTTTTTGGTTTCTTTTACTGCTTTTATGCTTTATGTTTTTCTCATTTTGAGAATTATAAACATACTCACCAGTAGTTTTCTAGGTATTTAAAGTAATTTCATCTTAAATATTTATTAAATTTTATGTTGCATAGATTTAATGAATGACACACTATGGTTATAACCTTCGTTTTCATACAAATACATAATGGCTGAACCAGTAAATAACTAGTCCACTTTGAGGAGTGGATGAGCCCTGGTTATTGGCTGTTCCTGTGGCAAAAGTCAGACCTGGGAAACACTCCTTGCCAAAAGGCAAGGATGTGCAAGGCTTTGATATCTTGCTCTGACACTAATAGTTATCAGATGTTCCAGTGAAATAAGTATTCTGGGTACAGCAGGATAGTTACAAAAATGTTTCTAGCTCTGTTATGTTTTAGTGCACACAGAAGCCATTTAATAACTCAAAAGCCTTGAACAATTACAGTACTTCTGTGGTTTAACTTCCTGATAATGAGACCTGATAAAATAAACATGCTGAGCTAGTTCTGAGCTAGTTCCTCCATCAGAGGGCAGTGTCCCACCTGGCCCCAGCTTTGTTTAAAAAAGTCTTTGTGTTTTTCTTTGTCTCCCATTGCCCTTACTTGAGAACCTTTGTTGTTGCTGCATGGATTGCAGCATGACTTCTTCAAATATTCTGCTTACTATTACATTTCAATATTCACAAAAATTTTTTAAAAAAACAAATATTTTTAGATGTATGTGGACACAATACCTTTATTTATTTGTATGGGGTGCTGGGGATCAAATCTAGTGCCTCACATATTTGAGACAAGTGCTCTACCACTGAGCCACAACCCTAGACCCCACAAAACTTTTGAAACCAAAGAATTGAAGCTTAATTGCAAGAACAATAGATGCAGGAAGCCACCCATGTATTACTTGCAGGTCTTCACTCAGTATGAAAGCCAGGGAGATTTCAGTTTTTCCTTGGGAACTATCTGTGACTCCTCCAACCTATAGATTGCCCAAGGCACATGATCTTTATCTCCAGTCTACTAGGAAGATCCCTCAGTAGCTCTGCAAATGAGCATAATCCATTAGAAACTGTATAGCCCATCTTGTACTTTTTTCAGCAAAGAACATTCCATGGAAAGCCTTTGAAGTTCCCCAATATAAATAAAGCAATCAAGAGTTCCATTTTGCTCTTTTTAGTGTGGAAGCTTGAAGGGTATGATGGGTTAGCCCATCCTGTCCTTCCTCTTTAAAAAATATTTCCTGTGTTCTGTGTTTTCTTTTTCATCAATCTATTTTCCTAAGCCTTTATTCCAGAGCCAGCCCATTCCACTGAGGAAACCCATTTCTACTGCCCACGTGGGATGTGGGTGGGAGATAGACTTGTTAATGTTTAGTTGATCCTTAACTTCATTATAGATAAAGACAAAATACACACTATCAAATACTCCCTGAAGACTTTCAGAAACAAGTCATGTTTTATGCTTTCTATTTTCCTGTTTTCAAGCAGGTGATCCAGGTAGTCTACCTCCCAAATCAATTTAAGCTTTGATATGTCAAAGCATTCATCAAATTAATGGCAACTAATCTAAGCATAGTTTACTCATTCTATTCAATAGCTTTAGAATTAATAATTAAATGATAGGTAGAAAGTTAGTGTATAAGTTAAATTTCACTCTCTGATTAATACATTTTTATATAATTATTTTATACTTGGTTACAATTCTACTCCTCATTTATATCCCAGATGAACTTCAGTGGAAAATCTCTCATGTTCCACTTGAATATTCTATCAAATCTTTCATTCTGTACCACAGTCAAATGATGTTTCCAATCTCCAATGGTACCTAATAGAATAAACACATAAAGAGAACACTTATGAATAAGGAACACTCTCATGGCAAAGGTTATCCCAATCCATCATAATATCTTCTCCAATCCAAGATAAATTTTTAACTTCTCCATGGGGTTGGATACCTTATCATTCCTTAGGAATGAATCTAAAAAGACCCTTAGGAACACAACAGTTCAGTAAATTTAAATTTCAGTTCCCCATATTAGACTTTCACCACTTAATCTTATCCATTCTTTAGGAAGAAAAAAATCTAAAAGATATGAATATATTAGGATTTTAAAAAATATTTTGACTATATGACCGACATCATACTTAGCAAGTTACAATTATCTAATGTAATATGATTTTCAATGAAAACCTAGAAGATACATATTTCTTCATTTTTACATTATAAAAATGGAAACCCAATGATCATCAACTAAAGAAGTCAATGTCACTTAGGCTACAGACCTACCACTATTGCAGTTTAGCTTGATAGAAGATAAAAACCATTATTATGTAAGGAGTGGTGAATGAATTACAGGTTTCTTTGAATTATCCCAAGGCAGAAGTATGCCCTTCTGAGAACTCTTGGTGGAAAAGCACCAATAGAAATTGCTTAGTCACTGGTGATGCTCTGTTCAAAGGGGATTCTGTGCAGCTCACAGCATTTATTGGTTCCTGGCTTTGAGTTCAAACACCAGGTGCCCAGAGGTAGAAGAGATACGGGCACAAGTTGATAAACTCTAATTAGACTGTTGTGCTCACAAATTTCAGTGTCAGACTCTCTCTTATTAGGAATTTAGTTGATTCACTGGGTCTTGCTTTCTCTATATTTGTGTTTGCTTGTCTTTTCCCAATCCTCTCACTGGGATGTTTGGAAAATGGAAGAAATGTTGCATAGGCAGCAACATTATTATACCATTTTTTAAATAAAAAATAGTAACTTGGCCTCTTTTCCTTCCAGATATGCTTGTATAAATTGTTGACATGTGGAATGGATAGCAAGCTATTATGGACATGAGAATTGCATTGTATCTCTTTTATTGTAGGAATGAGGAGTGAGAGCTGATAATTTTTTCATCACAAGAGAAAAAAGACCATGATTTTTTAAAAAAATAAATATCCAGGACCATATGTATTCACCACTGAATTCTATAAGACCTTCAAAGAACTAATACCAATACTCCTCAAATTATTCCATGAAATAGAAAAAGAGGGAACAGTTACAAACTCATTCAATGAGGCCAATATCACCCTGATTCCAAAATGAGACAAAGCCACATCAAGGAAAGAAAACTTCAGATCAATATCTCTAATGATTATAGATGCAAAAACTCTCAATAAAATTCTGGAAAATCAAATACAGAAATATATTAAAAAGATAGTGCACCCTGATCAAATGTGGTTCATCCCAGGGATGAAAGGTTGGTTCAACATATGGAAATCAATAAATGTAATTCATCACATCAATAGACTTAAAGATAAGAAAAGATGATAATCTCAATAGGTGCAGAAAAAGCACTCAACAAAATATAGCACCCCTTCATGTTCAAAACATGATAACAGGAACATGTCTCAAGATTGTAAAAGTTATCTATGCTAAGCCCAAGGCCAACATCATTCTAAATGGAGAAAAATTGAAAGCATTCCCTCTAAAAACTGGAACAAGACAGGGATGCCCTTTTTTACCACTTCTATTCAACACAGCCCTTGAAACTCTAGCCAGATAATTAGATAAAATTAAAGGGATGCAAGTAGGAAAGTAAGAACTCAAAATATCACTATTTGCCAATGACATGATTCTCTACATAGAGGATCCGAACAATTCCACCAGAAACTTGTTGAACTAATGAATTCAGTAAAGTAGCAGAAATGCAAATCAAAACTCCTCTTAGATTTCATCTCATTTCAGTCAGAATGGCAGCTATTAAGAATACATACAAACAACAATAAGTGAAAGGCATTTCTGAACATCAGTGATAAATCCTCTGAAAGAGAAATGACATTTACAATAGCCTAAAAAAAAAGGCAAAAAACTTTGGAATCAACTTAACAAAAGAGGTGAAAGACCTCTACAATGAAAACTACAGAACTCTAAAGAAAGAAATTAAAGAAGACTTTAGAAGATGGAAAGATCTTCCTTGTTCTTGGATAGGCAGAATTGTTATTGTCTAAATGACCATACTTCCAAAAGCACTACGCAGACTTAATGCAATCCCAATCAAAATCCCAATGGCATTCCTCATAGCAATAGAAAAAGCAATCATGAAATTCATCTGGAAAAATAAGAGACCCAGAATAGCCAAAGCAATCCTTAGCAAGAAGAGTGAAGCAGGTGACATCATTATATCAGACCTTACATTATACTACAGAGCAATAGTAACAAAAATAGCATGGAATTGGTACCAAAATAGACTTGTAGACCAATGGTTCAAAATAGAGGACACAAAGACAAACCCACATTAACATAGTTATCTCATACTAGATAAAGGCACCAAAATCATATATTGGAGAAAAGATAGCCTCTTCAACAAATTGTGCTAGGAAAACTGGAAATCCATATGCAGCAAAATGAAATTAAGCCCTCATTTGTCACCATGCACAAAACTCAACTCAAAGTAGATCAAGGATGTAGGAATTAAACCAGAGACCCTGCAACTAATAGAAGAAAAAGTAGGCCCAAATCATTCCTTAACAAGACTTGTAAAGCACACAAAATAAAATCAAGAATCAATAAATTAGATGGATTCAAACTGAAAAGATTTTTCTCAGCAAAAGAAACAATCAGTGAGGTGAAGAGAAAGTCTACAGAATGGGAGCAGAATTTTTACCACACATACATCAGATAGAGCACCAATATCTAGGAGATATAAAGAACCCAAAAAACTTAAGCCCCCAAAGCAACCTAATCAATAAATGGGACAAGGAACTGAACAGACACTTCTCAGAAGAGGATATACAATCAATCGACAAATATATGAAAAAACGTTCATCATCGCTAGTGATTAGAGAAATGCAAATCAAAACTTCTCTTAGATTTCATCTCATTCCAGTCAGAATGGCAGCTATTAAGAATACATACAGGAGACTAGCAACATGGTGGCGGATAGGGAGGTAGCACTACCATGACCTGCACCGCTGCGCTTACAGTAAGGGAGTTCAGAATGGCTGGATGCTGTCTTATCAGGAACATTCAGTGAAGTTGGGCTACAGTGAAACCTAAGGGAAGCATTTGAATATCTCAGAGGCTTCAGGGTGGCTCAGATTCTGAGCCACCCCGATCGTGGAGGTATGGGAGCAGAGAAATGGAACTTGGGATCCTGTGAAGAGCTGCCAACCATGCCTCCACAGGCCACCAGACCAAGATCTGAAGCTGGGACTTAGGAGAGAAATGGCCCAGACCCATCCTCCCCACCGAACACCCTGCAAGGAAACCAGCGACCACCATATCAGAGAATTGACATCATCAGAGTTCGGCGGAAAAGATCGCATGGCAGCGAATTCAGTGAGAACAGGTGTGTGACCCTCAGCCCCCCCCCTCCATACAGCTGGGAAAACTCAAAAAAATCTCTCCCCAGCTCTCTGTGGGCATAATTATCAGAGCCAAGGGAAACAGAAAAGGCACCTGACATCCAACTCCCACTCCCATCAGCAGCGAAAACGGAAACCTTTCTCACCAGCTGGCAGGGGCCTGACTATTGGAGGGAATCCGACAGAATAGGCTGCTGGTTCACAACTTTCACGCTCCAAAACCATGAGGTCTGGGTGAATGGCAAACAGAGAGAGTGCCTAGTCGTTCAAGAGAGCAGGGCATCCAGGAAACTGCAGGCCCAGAGTGTGTGTAGCTAGATCTGTGGAGAACTGCCCCAAGTAGGGCCTGGCTGGCAGGAGAAGCAAGGGGGCTATAGACCAGGAGCAAGCCTAATGACCAGGATTGGAGAGTCACCCGACTGAGGAGGGAGAGCCGCCTTACAGGGATTGCTTCCTGCATCTTTTGTTTATCATGGAAGGTTTTTATTTCATTGTCAAACCTGAAGCTTAATTTTGCTGGATACAATATTCTTGGTTGGCACCCATTATCTTTAAGCATTTGAAATATGTTGTTCTAGGATCTTATCTGATCATAATGGAATGAAACTGGAAATCAACGATAAAAGAAGGAAGGAAAAATCCTATATCACTTGGAGAATGAACAATATGTTACTGAATGATCAATGGGTTACAGAAGACATCAAGGAGGAAATTAAAAAATTCTTAGAGATAAATGAAAACACAGACACAACATATCAGAATCTATGGGACACAATGAAAATAGTTCTAAGAGGAAAATTCATTGCTTGGAGTTCATTCCTTAAAAAAAGAAAAAACCAACAAACAAATGATCTCACACTTCATCTCAAAACCCTAGAAAAAGAAGAACAAAACAACAGCAAATGTAGTAAAAGGCAAGAAATAATTAAAATCAGAACTGAAATTAATGAAATTGAAACAAAAGAAACAATTGACAAAACTAAAAGTTGGTTCTTTGAAAAAATAAATAAGATTGACAGACCCTTAGCCATGCTAACAAAGAAGAGAGAACTCAAATTACTAGCATACGAGATGAAAAAGGCAATACCATAACAGACACTACAGAAATACAGATTAATTAGAAATTATTTTGAAACCTTATACTCTGATAAAATAGAAGATAGTGAAGGCATCGATAAATTTCTTAAGTCATATGATCTGCCCAGATTGAGTCAGGAGGATATAAACAACTTAAACAGACCAATATCAAGTGAGGAAATAGAAGAAGCCAACAAAAGACTACCAACCAAGAAAAGCCCAGGACCGGATGGGTATACAGCAGAGTTTTACAAAACTTTTAAAGAAGAACTAATACCAATACTTTTCAAGCTATTTCAGGAAATAGAAAAAGAGGGTGTACTTCCAAATTCATTCTATGAGGCCAACATCACCCTGGTTTAGGAAAAAACAGACAAAGACACTTCAAAGAAAGAAAACTACAGACCAATATCTCTAATGAACCTAGATGCAAAAATCCTCAATAAAATTCTGGCAAATTGGATAAAAAAAAATCTCAAAAAGATCTTGCACTATGATCAAGTAGAATTCATACCTGGGATGCAAGGCTGGTTCAATATATGGAAATCAATAAATGTAATTCACCACATCAATAGACTTTAAGATAAGAACCATATGATCATCTCGATAGACACGGAAAAAGCATTTGACAAAATACAATATCCCTTTATGTTCAAAACACTAGAAAAACTAGGGATAATAGGAACTTACCTCAACATTGTAAAAGCTGTTGATGCTAAGCCTCAGGCAAGCATTATTCTAAATGGAGAAAAAATGAAGGCATTCCCTCTAAAATCTGGAACAAGACAGGGATGCCCTCTCTCACCACTTCTATTCAACATATTTCTCGAAACACTGGCCAGAGCAAAAAGACAGATGAAAGAAATTAAGGCATAAAGATAGGAAAAGAAGAACTTAAATTAGCACTATTTGCACATGACATGATCCTATAACTAGCAGACCCAAAAGGTTCTACCAGGAAACTTCTAGAACTAGTAAATGAATTCAGCAAAGTGGCATGACATATAACCAACACCCATACATCAAAGGCATTCCTGTATATCAGTGACAAATCCTATGAAATAGAAATGAGGACAATCACCCCATTTACAATATCCTCAAAAAAAAAACAACTTGGGAATCAACCTAACAAAAGAGGTTAAAGACCTATACAATGAAAACTTCAGAACCTTAAAGAGAGAAATAGAAGAAGACCTTAGAAGATGGAAAGATATACCTTGTTCATGGATAGGAAGAATTAATATCATTAAAATGGCCATATTACCAAAAGTACTCTATAGGTTTAATGCCATGCCAATCAAAATCCCAATGGCATTCCTCGCAGAAATAGAAAAAGCAATCATGAAATTCATCTGGAAAAATAAGAGACTCAGAATAGCAAAAGCAATTCTAAGCAGGAAGAGTGAAACAGGTGGCATAGCGATACCAGACTTAAAACTATACTACAGAGCAATAGTAATAAAAACAGCATGGTACTGGTACCAAAACAGGCAGGTAGACCAATGGTATAGAATAGAGGATGCAGAGACCAATTCACAAAATTACAACTACCTTATATTAGACAAAGGTGCTAAAACCATGCAATGGAGAAAGGATAGCATCTTCAACAAATGGTGCTGGGAGAACTGAACATATGCAACAAGAATGAAATTGAATCCCTTTCTCTCGCCATGCACAAAAGATAACTCAAAATGGATCAGGAGCTAGGAATAAAACCAGAGACTCTGCGTCTAATAGAAGAAAAAGTTGGCCCTAATCTCCACCTCGTGGGGTTGGGCTCCAAATTCCTTAATAGGACACCTATAGCACAAGAGTTAAAATCAAGAATCAACAAATGTGACGTATTCAAACTAAAAAGTTTTTTTCTCAGCAAGAGAAATAATAAGAGAGGTAAATAGGGGGCCTACATCCTGGGAACAAATTTTTACCCCTCCCACTTCAGATAGAGCTTTAATCTCCAGAGTATACAAAGAACTAAAAAAATTAAACAATAAGAAATCAAATAACCCAATCAACAAATGGGCAAGGATCTGAACAGACACTTCTCAGAGGAGGATATACAATCAATTAACAATTACACAAAAATATGCTCACCATCTCTATCAATCAGAGAAATACAAATTAAGATCACTCTAAGATACCATCTCACTCCAGTAAGAATGGCAGCCATTATGAAGTCAAACAATAACAAGTGCTGGTGAGGATGTGGAGAAAAAGGTACACTTGTACATTGCTGGTGGGACTGCAAATTGGTTCAGCCAATTTGGAAAGCAGTATGGAGATTCCTTGGAAAGTTGGGAATGGAACCACCATTTGACCCAGCTATTTCTCTTCTTGGACTATACAGAAAAGACCTTAAAAGAGCATACTACAGGGACACAGCTACATCAATGTTCATAGCAGCACAATTCACAATAGCTAGACTGTGGAACCAACCTAGATGCCCTTCAATAGATGAATGGATTAAAAAATGTGGCATTTATACACAGTGGAATATTACTCAGCACTAAAAAATAACAAAATCATGGCATTTGCAAGGAAATGGATGGCATTAGAGCAGATTTTGCTAAGTGAATTTAGCCAATCCCTAAAAAACAAATGCCAAATGTCTTCTTTGATATAAGGGGGGTGACTCAAAACAGAGTAGGGAGGAAGAGCATGAGAAGAAGATTACCACTAAACAGGGACGAGAGGTGGGAGGGAATGGGAGGGAGAAGGGGAATTGCACGGAAGATGGAAGGAGACCCTCATTGTTATACAAAATATATGTAATGATGGTGTGAGGGGAAAGAAAAAAGAGAGAGAAATGTGTCACAGTAGATGGGGGTAGAGAGAGGTGATGGGAGAGGAGGGGAGGGAGGGGGGATAGGAAGGGCAGCAGAATACAACAGACACTAGTATGGCTGTATGTATAAACGTGGCTGTATAACCAATGTGATCCTGCAATCTGTACACGTGGAAAAATAAGAATTCATACCCCATTTGAATCAAATGTATGATATGTCAAGATCATTGTATTGTCTTGAGCAACTAATAAAAAAATTTTAAATTTCAGTTATTGTATTTTTCAGCATTAAAAGCTTCTTTCGGTTCTAAAAAAAATGAATACATACAAACAACAATAAGTGTTGGGTGAGGATGTGGGAGAAAGGGCACACTTATACATTGCTGGTGGGACTGCAAATTGGTTCAGCCAATTTGGAAAACAGTATGGAGATTCCTTGGAAAACTGGGAATGGAACCACCTTTTGACCCAGTTATCCCACTCCTCAGTCTACACTCAATGGACTTAAAAACAGTATACTACAGGGACACAGCCCCATCAATATTTATAGCAGCACAATTCACAATAGCTAAACTGTGGAACCAACGGAGATGCCCTTCAGTAGATCAATGGATAAAGAAAATGTGGTATGTCTACACAATGGAATATTACTCAGCAAAAAAAAAAAAAAAAGAGAACAAAATCATGGCATTTGCAAGTAAATGGATGGAGTTGGAGAATGTAATGCTAGGTGAAGTTAGCTAACCCCCCAAAAAACAAATGCTGAATGTTTTCTCTGATTTTAAGGAGGCTGATTCATAGTGGGGTTGGGAGGGGGAGCAAGGAAGGATTACACAAATTCTAGATAGGGCAGAGGGGTGGGAGAGAAAGGGAGGGGGCATGGGGGTAGGAAAGATGGTGGAATGAGATGGACATCATTACCCTAAGTACATGTATGAAGACATGAATGGTGTGAATATACTTTGTATACCACTCGAGGTATGAAAAATTGTGCTCTATATTTGGAATATGAACTGTAATGCATTCTGCTGTCATATATAACAAATTAGAATAAATAAGTTGATTAATTTTAAAAATATAAAAACTAAATATCCAAGTTAATGTATATAAAATATTTAAATAATTGCTTACAAATCAACATTTATCATAATACTGTTAAATTATGAATGTTACAAAATAAAATATGAATAAAATAGAAGCCAAATTATGGTTTAGAATGTTCTAAGTTAAAGTTTAAATTAAAAACTGTGAACTTAAGAGGGAAATATATCCATTCTTAACAACTCCTGGCATATAATATATTCTACCAAAATAGAGATCTTAATTATTTTTGAAGTAATTAAATTAAATTCATAGCAGATAATAGTATGAAGATATTGCACTACTTTTTGTGAGGAAGCACTCTGACTTTCAGGAAATAATATTCCAAATATCCTCTCCCTTAAGAAAACATGCATTAAGTTTACTTGGAATATTTAGGAGAAATAAAGGAAAAAAGGGTTATTGTTCTACTGGTTCAATATATCCATTGCTTTCACATAAGACAATAACAAAATTTAAAAAGAGTAGGTCATGTGACCTATAAGAAAAGAAGGAAATATTTGTTAAACAAGTTAAATTGTCAGACTGCATACTAAAATACAGCTAGGTTCCCTGAAAAATACTCCAGGCCTACTTTCAGTTAGGATGCTTGATCTTCTCTGGTCTCAAATATCATTATCACTGGAAGAGACACATTGGAAGCACTGACTTTTTCTCATAAGTTACAAAGACCCAAAAGAACTCTCAATATTTTTGCTACTATAAACCCCTGAGAATTACCTTTGCGCAGGAAATTTCCCTCATCATTTCTAATTCCAACTTTATATTTTATAATATTTTTATAATTTGCTAGTGGATCACACTTCATGTTTTGAAATTCAGCCTGTCTCACAACAGAATCCAAATCTTCTTCACTCAGTGATTTTGCAAGAAACTTGCAGATTTTAAGCACTGAACTTCTGAGGTCCTGGAAGAGTCATAGTTATGAAAGATTATTCAGTATGTGAAGGATACATGAGTTACATACAGGTAAACACACAAAACAATCAAGTGTAGGTGAAAAATTCCAACATGCAGGCACTGTCAATGACTTCTTAAATAGGAATCCTAAAGTTCAAGAAATAAAAGCAAAAATAGACAAATGGTGTTGCATCAAATAAAAAGCTTATGCACAGCAGTGGCAACAATTAGCAGCCTGAAGAGAGAGCCAACAGAAGGAGAGAATATCATTGGCAGCTACACTTCTGACAGATAATTAAGATCCAGAAAATATAAAGAACTAAAAATAACACACACGCACAGACTCACAAAGAACAACCCCCACCCAAACAACACATTCAATAAATCAGCAAATGAACAAAACAGACATTTCAAAAAGAAGTACAAATGGCCAACCATTACATAAAAAATGTTCAACATCTTTATCCCTTTATCAAAGCCACACTGAAATTCCATTTCACTCCAGTCAGAATGCACCAGTAACACAGGAGCCTGAGGAAGGAGGATCTTAAGTTCAATGCCAGCCTCACCAACTTAGTGAGACCCTGTCCCAATATTAAAAAAAAAAATTAAAGTGCAAGAAGTGTAACTCAGTGGTAGAGTACCCCTGGTTTTAATCCCTAGTACCAACCAAACCAAACCAAACAAACAAACAAACAAACAAAAAACCCCAATAAATGCTGGTAAGAATGTGAGAGGGGAAATGAACCCTTATGTACTGTTGGTGGGACTGCAAATTGGTACAGACATTATGAAAATCAGTATGGAAGTTCCTCAAAAGACTAAAAATGGAACTACCATACGACCCAGCTCTACCACTCCTTTGAATTTATCCAGAAGCATTAAATTTAGCATAGAGTGATACATGCATGTTCATGTTCATAGCAGCAAGAGTCACAATATTCAATATAGAAAAACAGCCTACGTATCCATCAGCATATAAATGAATAAAGAAAAAATGTGGTATATGCACAGAATGGAATACTATTCATTCTTAAAGAACAAAATAATGTCATTTTCAGAAAAACAAACAGAACTGGAGATCATCACTTTAAGCAAACTAAGCCAGACTCAGAAATAGAAGTATCACATTTTTTCTCTCTTATGTGGGATTTAGAGGGAAGAAAAGGAAGGCATGAATGTAGAAGAGACTATTAGAGAAGAAGAAAGGAGTCGGGGAGGTGAGAAGAGAAATAAGGGAGCATACGGGAGAGTGTGGAATTGATCAAAATATGTTATATGTATACATGAACATGCCATACTGAAATCCATTATCAAAAAGTGCAGGTAATGTAACTCAGTGGTAGAGAATCCATGGGTTCAATCCCCAGTAGCAACCAAACCAAACCAACCAACCAAACAAATAACGAAAAAAATAAATAAATAAATAAAATAAAGATCATGTGAAATAACTTTGAAAAGATAGTTAAAATGGTATATTTTAGTTATGGATATTTTACCACAATTAAAAAGTGCAATGGGGATAAAACCAAACCAGAAACACTATATGCAATAGCTGTTCATAGGAAAGATGGATTAATTCTATGAGATTTCAGACTTAAAATAGACCTAAGCTCATTAATCGAAATGGAGATATTAGTGAATAAATTTCCTAGAAAGTTAAACCCAGATGAAAAGAGAAATACAGAACTGGGAACTAGGGACAGGGAAAATAAAAACATTCAGAAAGATACATCATGGAAGGGGTCAGATGCCTTCATTGCCATATGTGGTGGATATAGCAATGTGACTGTGGATAATGACTGTGGATAGTGAGAACACAGCCCTGAGGAAGACCTGTTAATAAGGGATAGGCAGGAAATTAGGAACGCCACCCTCTTCCCTGCACCATTAAAAGTCTAAGGAATAGTTAGATATGAAAATGACTAGAAGAATGTGTTTTGAAGAAACCAAGAGAATACAGGGCTTAGGAGAATATATACATATATTTTAAAATAGCCTTCTTATTCCACCTTCTTCATATCTTCATAGCACATGAACATAATATTGAAGTCATTTCTGTGTTCATACCAGCCTCTTATATGATCAAACCAACAGTTTGCTTCCACTGTGGAAAAAAAGAAGTGAAAATATAGATGAAGATGTTGCACTTATTGAACAACTCCTCCTCCTCCTCCTCCTTTTGAATAACAATAGCTATTCAGAAATAAAAATTTCCTACCAACTGACATCTATATTACTGTTTTTAAATGGGTACTGTATTGGGAAACAATCACATGATTTTCATAGAAACCTCCCTATGCAAAACTGTTCTATATATTGAAAGAAAGCAATAATACAGAAATAAAACCCAAGGGTCTAAGTTTGAAGATAAATTTTTAAGGTAATTTTTTTACCTGCTTCCTTCACTGAAAACATGTTTTCATTTTTTCCGTTCCTTAAGATCTCTGGATAATAACATTAGCCATCTACAATGATACAGAACCTGAACACAATCTTTAAAGGAGAGAGATCCTGATGCCACTCTCCAATCTCTTATCTATCCATCCTCCTCAGAAGTGGAATGAAAATTCCATAGCTTCCTTGACAGCCTACCGCAGGTCCATGACATAGCACAGAAACTCCTCCTGGTTCTTAACAATTCAGGAATGTGTGACTCTACCTACATTTCTAGTTAGATGAAATTGCTAGAATATTCTTGCACCTCTTATGGTCTGGTTAAAATATTTCCTAAACAATAGGCTTCACAAATTTGACAATCCCCAATGGTCCTGGCAAGGATAGAAAAGCCATGTGTGGTTAAGTTGATGTACAATAGTAATTACTCACAAACATCCATGGTCTACAATTGTCCTTCCCTGTCTCTCTAAAACATTTTTCCTAAATTAGGGAATTTGGCCTTTGGCAGCATTGTTTCATAAACATGTTGCTTGATAAGTAAAGTCTTAGTTACCTTTTCCATCTAGAAACTTTTCCATGAAATGGTCAAGTGTATCTGAAGGTTCTAATATAGCTAGCCAATTTGTAAAATAAAAAAAAAAGAGACCAAAATATCTTTAGGATTTCTGTAGACATAAAGAACCTACAAGGAGAAGTACAAAATAATTGTAGCAATCCTTGGTTATTATTACAAATTTTTAACAGCTACATAATATTTTATTACCATATTGAATCATAATTATTTTCATATAGTCTTGGAAATTTAGGTGGTTATGAATTTATTCTTTTTGGTATTAATTCAATTCAATTCAATTAATACCATCATTTATATGATGGTTCACATGTGTGCAAGAATGTAAGACAAATTTCTAAAAAGTGGAATTAATTATTTATAAAGATGTTAAATATTTTAAATTAGTTTACATAGACTGTATTAATTGAACATCCTTGATATTATCTGATATTTGATGTGTAGTACTGGAAAAAGTGAAATAGAAAATGAAGTTTAGACCTCTGTTTAAAAAAAAAAAAACGTTTAATCTCATAACTGAGTATGGACATGCAAATTAAAATTAGTTTGAGATTACAACTGTCATATTGATAAAAAATTAAAAGTCTGATATGTAAAATTACTAGGGATAAAATAAGAAACTAAGAACGCATGAATTACTGATATCAGTATGACCGGATACACGTGCTTTCTTAACAATATACAGCCTCACCCCATAAAGTTGAACATCCTTGCATTGTGGCTTTGCAGTTCCTTTCTTGGATGTATAATCTAGGGAAGCTGCTGCAGATGTGCCCAGGTTACACACTCAAGAACATTCTTAGCAGCATGTAGTTATAGCAGAGTATTAGAGTAACCTAATTATTCAATGAAGAGAAGGCAGAGATCTGATAGAACTACCAACACAACTTGTAAAACTATGCAGTAGTGAAAATAGCATTAAAAAACTAGAACAAACAAAAGCATTTGGCAAAAATCCCGGGGTGGGACAGGGAAAGAAAACAGAACAAGGCATAAAATATTATATTTTATTTTGAGACAGAGTCTCACTAAGTTGCTCATGGCCTCACTAAATTGCTGAGGCTGGCTTGTATTTGGGAACCTCCTATCTCAGCCTCCTGAAGCTCTGGAATTATAGGAGTGCACCACTGCACCCCGCTGCACACAGAAGTTATCTCTTTTTCTTATGTAGTTGTGGAACACATTACACATGAAAAAACTGATTGTATGATTGACAATAATAAGTCCCTAAAATTAGAACTCTGTACTGGGATTGAACTCAGGAGCACTCGGCCACTGAGTCACATCCCAAGCCCGATTTTATATTTTATTTAGAAACAGGATCTCACTGAGTTGCTTAGCATCTCACTTTTTGCTGAGGCTGGCTTGAAACCCACAATCTTCTTGCACCATGCCTGGCCCAAAATCAGAACTCTTAAAATACCATTATCTGATGATAGGTAATTATATAAACTCTTACAAATAAAAAAACAATATCAAAAGAGCAGAATCAATTAGAAAAATAAAGCTGATATGACAGAGTATCTAAAGCATTAACAAAATTGTATCCATACCCATACTAAAAAGGATATGTATCCTTTTAAAATGTTCAAATTCAAAAATATATATTTGGAAGTAGATATACTAAATACTTAATTCAAGAAGTAGAAAGAGAAATGCAAACAAAACATGAAAAGGATAATTAAAATAAAAGCATTAATCACAAAGTAGGAAATACTAAATTATGATTCCTAAAAGAAGTAACTTCTTCAGAGGATAGCACTCAGTGAAATTGAAAACACCTTGTATTCTGAAAACTCTAAACAGGAGAGAATACAAAATTTTCATCATTCCAGAATAAATGAAAATGAAATATGAAACCATAGAATTGGAGCAAATTGATAAGATCATGGGAAAATATGCTATACTTTTCTCAGCCATTTAAGATCTACACATAGTGGGTAAAAATACACTGAGAACAAGATAAGGTACATACGGAAGACATGAAAGTAGACTTGATAAAATAGAGCCACAGAATGAAGATGCACGAATGCTGGAATATTGTAATGCTAGCTGGCTCAGAACTAATCCCTATTTCTATTAAATTAAAAATCCACATTTAAAAATCATTGTGGGTTTAAAATATTTTTTAAGGTGGATGAGATAATTTGCATTATTAGTTAAAATATGTAAACCAACGAAAATTATCACATATCAAACAGAAGTATCTATTTTTGGAATGAAGAATGGACAGTAGGAAGAGAGGAACAATAGAGATTCAGTATGTCAATATGTAGATTTCAAAATAGTGGAAATTTTTAAAAGTAAATCTTTCAAGAAATTGTGTTAGATCAATTGGTAAAACTGTTGGATAAATATCATGCAATATTTATGTGCTTCATCATGTGTTGTATGAAATATAACTTATAATCATAAATAAGAACAAAAAAATGAAGTTAATTAGGTAAAAGCTTGAGAGTATTTGCATAATCTTTGCAGTGGGAAAGTGTTTCCTTACTAAAGCACCAAAGCTACAAGTCATGAAAGTAACGTTAACAGATCAGTTACATAAAATTAAAAGCTTTCAACAATTTTTAAAGGTAATCCATTGATTGGGAAAACACTGCCTTATGGAAATTGTTCCACAAAACAGTAAATAAGACAAATTAGAGAAAAATGGGCCAATGGATATTTAAAGGTTATTTAAAGTCCTATAAAAATATAAAAGGTAATCTCATTAAAATCAAAAGGTTTGCAATGTACTCAAGAACAAATTGTTTTTATTCTAGGATATTAGTCATATTTGATGATTACCAATTTTAATATGCATGTGAGGAGAAAAAGTATTCTCAAATGCTATTTACTAAAGAGTAAATTGATACATTATAGAAGAAAAGGAGGTAATGACTGCCAACACTTAAAATAGTTGGCTATTTTAATCTGAAAATTCCATCTTCAGTGAAACATGGCACAAGAATAAAAACATGTGAACCTTCATAAGAATGTTTATTAAAATGTAATGTACACATTTGCTTTAACTTACCTTGTTGATTAAATACATATTAAATACTGTGAACCATAAAATAAAATCCTATGAAACCATAAAAAAGAATTTTATGGCCAATGTGAAAGACATTTTGTGATAAACTATAGAATTATACTGCAAATTATATGTGCAATAGCTCAAGAGTATACATATATTTATAACTTCATATAATGTGCAAGACAACATCCTAAGCATAGAATAATTATAACATTTGAAAGTATGTGGATAAGGGGATTTAGTTTTTCTGTCCCCAAAATGGTTAATTAATCTGTATGACTTACTTTAGCTTTTTGATTCTTCAGACCTTTGGGTACTAAATTATACTGTAGATGGGAAGTGAAGAAGCGAGGAGATGGTCTTTTGCTATGGTCCACATTGTGATTATTGTATTCAACGAAGGGAGCTCTAAGGGCTGTTGTGATGTTTTCAGTTCTGTTACGATGTCCCTCAAAATAAATCAAGGATAGAATCTGCTGAGTCCAGATGGTTCCTGTAAAGATAAATCATCTTGTTTTCAAACCTGAAGGAGTTGAAATAATAAATATCAACAGTAATCTCATGCATCGTGAAATCACTTGAGCTTTTTTTCTTTAAAACACTCCAAATATGCTAATGAGTTTGCCCAATTTCTGGTTTGCTTTTTGTCTATATTAAAGTTAGTAAAGATAAAATCAAGTCGTCTTAGTTCCTTTCTCACTTAAGGAGTTGTGATTATTCTGATTCTGTGACAGTGATGACTTGGATTAATTCTTGATGTTCTCTTTGTTTCCTGTATTCCATGTGAGGTCTTTTTTTTAATTATTAACTTGTAATAATTCTACCTATGGATGATGTAGGGTGTGATATTTCCACATACGCACAGAGACTGAGTTGATCACATCAGGGGAATTAGCACTTCCCACTCTGCCATTTCTTTCTGTTTAGATCCTTTGATTTCATTCATTCTAGATTTTCATAAAATAAATTATAATATTGAGTTCTGTTTTACTACATTTTATGGGTACTTCTGTCTTCATTAGTACTTCTGTGCTCTTTAGTAAATAGCATTTGAGAATGCTTTTTCTCCTCACATGCATATTAAAAATGGTAATCATCAAATTGACTGCAACTTCTTTCTTAAAACTTTACCTTTTAGAAGTTTAGACAAATTAACAAAATTATAGCATGTTCAGTTTCTTCCCCCCTTTTTATTACCATTTAAGGTTATGAAATATTCTTATGTCATATTCCCAGGAAACCATGATAATACACATTATAGGGAAAGAGAAGACCAAAAATTTCAATGTTCTTATTGATTCTTGGTTCTTTAATGAGTTCAAATCTGCTCACAGGCTATGAAGGGATTTGGGAAATTCATGGAAATGTCCTACTCCATTTCCAATTAGAATGGACCCAGATGTGGTCACATGTAATGGTACTAAGGTTTTCCCTTATTTATTTATTAATGATTACTTTGAATTATTTATGAGTGGCAATGTGGACTTGAACACACAAATCCCACTGTTCTCAAGAGCAGGATAATAGTGCTTCTTATGAAGCAGAACCCACAATTTTGAAAAATTGCTCATGCCAAGATATTTCAGGCTCCAAAGCTGATAACAATAAAAGTTATGGTGTCCTCTATGGCCCTACATAAGTTTTCATCAACCACTACAATCTTGGCCCAGGATATCCAGAAGCACTTGGCAATTTGCTGGTGATTATTAAGTTCTTTGGTAGACATACCAATGGGTGATCACGTGAAACTGCTATTTTTCTACTGTTCTATCTCTGCCAAGTCTTATGATGGCTTGTGTGTCTGAACTCCAAATGAGTATCTGAGCTAGAGTTAGAAAATCTATGAATACACATCGTAAAGAAACGGAACTGATTCTTATCATTGAAATAAGCAATACCATCCAATATTGCTGTAATTATCAAGGTATTTGGTGTGACCACACACTAGGCCAACTATAATTCAACTCTTCCATCTCAACAAAATAATTCAAGAAGAACTTCAAAAGCACTGGGATCCATAAAGATTGGTGGAAGTCAATTTTCCAAAGGAAACCCATGCAAGCAATAGACTCGTTGTTTACTGTACCATAAACGACAACATCCTTAGTATTTAATTCGTAACTCTCTTGTCATCTGTCAGCATATATAAAACTATGGCAAGTTAACAAGTTAGCTTACATATAGAATACAATTTTAGACCATTCTCAGATTGTGACAATGGAAGTCTTGAGTTCCAGAGTTTAGTGAGATAGAATGATTTCCTCAGTGCCCATCAAACTCTGTAAAATATTTAAGGAGACAGGCTGACTTGAAGTGAAAAACTGTACATATTTAGAAAATATATCATGTTTCACCAATCCATGTATGACCAACTTTATTTTGTGTGGTGTTCTGGGACAACCACATCATAAATAAGAAAACACTGTGTGTGAAATCTTAATATCTACAGCTTTACCTTTTAGTCTGCATTGACCATTGTAAAAGTGCAAACCAAGCCCTCCATGTGTCACTCCCTGCTGAAGTAGAAGCCACCATTTATAAAGGTTCTTAGTACCTTCTTTAGCCCAACTTCCTGCAGAAGTACATTTTTGCCTTTCTGACACAAGGTATTTCTATCATAGTAGAGATCTGAATTTCGCGTAACTTTTTTCTGATCCTTAATGGATATCCAAATGTAGGCTGCTGCTGATGTCTGGGAAATAGCACATTTATACACATATATACCAATCCAAAGCAAAGAATATCAGGAGGCCACTCCTTACACTTACCAGATTTTGGATATGTTATTATGAAGACATCATCATCTCTAATTTCAAAATCTTCTATAGCTTCCAGTATTTCAATTTTAGCAAACTGACGTTGTAAATAGTGGCCTTTAAAGTTATATAAGTATGAATTCTTATTGTCCATGATTTTTCACCTACAAGTACAAACAAAATCCTCTTCAAGTTCTTAATATACTATAGGACTTTATTATTTTGTATACTTAGTGATAAATACATGCCAGTACCATTTCAAAGTCTTATATATATTAACTCTTACTATGCTAAACACATCACATACGTTAAATTACTTAAAACTACGTTAATCCAACATTGTTGTATTTTTATCATAATTATTTTAAAGATGAGAAAACAGAGATTCTAAGAAGTTAGGTAGTTTTTCCTCAAACCTCCATGATTCTAAACAGAGAGAAGAGGAAATCAAGGCACAGAGAAGTCAAACAAATTATTCAAAGTTGCCCAGTTAGCAGTGCTGGGAAGATTGGTAACAGACATTTTGGCCATGCTTTTAATCCAAAATATCTTAGAATTATCTTACATTTTTATTCCTTACATTTTTCATTATTACACAAATAAATTCTTTAATGGATACACTTTTAGTTATGGTAATTTTTTATGTCTCTGATAATTTTTTATGTCTTCTGAGGCTTGGGATTTGAGAAGCTGCTGTTAGTGAAAAATAGAAGAAAATGCTTTTCCCAAGGGACGCCAATTGGTTTTACTTCAGAAATATTACCTTAGTGTTACAAGATTCTGCATAGAAATTATGATAAATTCCAATAGAAGGTGTTTGAATTAGAAATTGGATACAAATTTAAATATTAAACTTAAAAACAACAGAAAGTGAACAATCTAAACACAAAACATTTCAAAATTCAGATCAGCCAAGCAACTCTATTAGGTCTGTCTAAAAAATATTTATGGAATGTTAAATTAGTGAAAGAATCTCAGAAAAATCTAATAACTTAGAACCAGAATACATCATTTGAGAAGTAAATTACTAAACACTAAACTCAGAAATTAATTCCAGGGTAATCTTTAATATTTTCAAAGTACAAATTTTCCCTGGTAAATAAAGAGGCTGTAATCTGAGAATAAGTAAATTTTTAAAATATTGAGCCTGTTTCTTCTTTCTCATATGTATAGACTCACACAATATTTGTTAAACAATTTTCTGAGGGAGAATTTACACTGCATTATATGGATAAATGGAGAAGCCCATAGTAGGAGGTATAAGTTGAGGAGAAAGGCAAAAGAGAAGTGTGAGTTGCTACCACATGCCTCCTACCAGCCCACAACATCGTCCACACACACCCTGAAATGTCACCAAGGGTTCCAGAAACTCTGGTTGGTGAGAAAGAGTATCAGGACAGTTTCTGAAAACATTTCAAATGAATGTTTTTTCTTATTTATTACATTTAGTCACTGAACTTTCAGTCTAAAGGTAAAGAGAATTTTAAGAGCCATGGTATCAGGGAAGCAATCGAGAAAGCACATGAGGAGGTGCCCACTGGCTACTCAGTATTGTTTGCATGGCTTTGCTGCATGTGGGAGAAGGCGATTGTGTAAGTAGGAAACCTCTCTGTGTCTCCTTATTCCTTCATGGAAGTCCCCAAAAAAAGGGGTGGGGGGTGTTCATAGATAATTAGGGAGAAAAGGAGGTAAATACATATAGTAATCTCTCATTCAAAAGAGGTGAGAATTGATAGTGTCTCTGAATCTATCCTGTGAGTACTCACTGTTGAGATCAACTGCTGAAGGAAAACCAGCTCTCACAAAATTTTCAGGATGATCTGCTGTGTCACTGAGGAATAAATAGTCCATATGGAGTTTGTTTTGGCCAATGAGTACTGTCCTAGAAACTATTTGGGTAGCTCAGCTTGTGTAAATTGGATAAGATTTTGTTGATGCTGGGAAAAGCATATCAATTATTGATGATCCCAGGTTCTTTAAAGGGATCAAACGTTTTAGAGATACTAAAAAAAAACTTCAGGAGAAGAGAGGGCACATTTACTTAATTACAGCAATTATGAAAAAAACACAAGGATTCTAATTGAAATCTACAAGGAGACTTCCTTGTATCTGAATGATGGTAAGTCAAATCTTTCAGCCCATCTCAGGGGATGGTGATTATTCTTCAGTTCCCTTCTTGCACTCTCCTATCATCTACCCTAAACTCACCCAGTTGTTTCTTCTATTGCCTAACTGGTACCTACAGAAAGTTCTAGGGATTATATAAACTTCTGAAAAACACAAATTCCTTTTCCAGTGCACACTGGGTTGCCCTTTCTAATTGATGCCCCTACAATACTGTTACTTTTTTTTAATGGTAGATGTTACCTTTTTGTTTTCCACAATAATTATTTTTTCATCTCAGATCTATTCTAACATCTCCCATGGAATCTCTTTTTTTAAATTTAGTTATTGATAGACCTTTATTTTATTTATTTATATGTGGTGCTAAGAATTGAACCCAGTGGCTCACACATGCCATGCCAGACAAGTGCGCTACCACTGAGCCACAGTCCCAGCCTTCCCATGGAATCTTAACTCATTCCTCAGTCTTCTGTTGCTCATATAAGCTGCTCTTAGATAATGATTCTCAGGTTCCCACTAAATGCAGAATCTGATCCCAGGGTAGATATCTAATCTTTTCAAACCTTCCCTGATTAGAAAGTAGGGTGTATTCTGAGACTAATTTCAGTTTATAAGTATTAAACCTGTCTCTTATTTCACATAACATTTATCTAAAACTAAGGCTATGTTTGTAAAACAATTCATTTTCAGAGGACAGCAAATTGTGAAGAGTAGAAATCAATGGAATAGACTATGGATTAAAATGAAGGTTTTTAGATTTTATAATACAATTTTCCATAGAAATTTGTGGCCTTTTGAGGTTCTTGAACTCTTTTGCCTTCCTCTCTTCCCTCTTTTTCTCCCCTGACTCCACATAATTATCTGCTGTGAAACATCTAGACCAGTAAGTGTAACAGCCAAGTGAATAAGACAGCTGCTTTCATGAGCAGAGAGCATTTTGATTTCCTTCTTCCCAGCTACACAGTGTTACGTGCATCTAGCAAGTAAGAGGGATTGAGAGGAACACAGAGCAATGGCTGATTGCAGAGGTGGGGCAGGAAAGGACAGAGGAGCAGCTTGAGACATCTTGTACCACAATGTGAAGATTTATGCAAAGAATTCTGGACACAGATCAAAAGGGCACCAGAGCCAGCTTGCAGGTATCACATCTGACCACTTCAGGAACAATTTGAATTTTGCAATACATAATCATAGTGTAGATCACAACTTTTTGAATAAAATAAGAAAATATGAGTCTCTCCCAAGGGTAGACAAATGTTATTGACAGGAACAGACAGAGTTTTAGGATTTGTAGGCCAGATGGCAAGAATGAAGATAATATGCAGTTGTTTTTAGGAAGAAAGAAAAATATGCCAAGCTTTTATTCTTAATTATTTTTTCAATAATTTAAAATTGGAAAACTATTCTTAACTCACAGATCATACAAAAGTAGATTATTGGCTGGATTTGTGTCCCATAGATAGATTGAAAGCCCCAGTCATAACTGATGTGAATGCATGCAGAAATAAATGAATAAGAAGGAAAATACCTATTTGGACTGGAATATCATGAAGTAAGTATAGAAGAAATTATTGGAAAAGAAGTTTGAATGAAGAAGAGGATCTTCTTTAAACATTTTAAAGTATATTTCCCCAAATTATTAATTTCTTAGAATAAAATTTACCATGTAAAACTCTGGCACACACCACCTTAACCAACATTTGAAAGCTAACACCATGAATATTGCTGTTTATACCAACCTGACATTTCTCCTATTATGATCATTAAAGACATATAACTTCAGTTTGTTTTCTCAAAAAGTTCAACCTCATTTTATCATTAGTAAACATCAGAAGAAATAAATCTGAACAATATTACGGCATGTATTATTCAAAAATGCTGTAGTCTGGTAAAATGAAGAAAGGAGAGAAATTATTTCAGATTAGACACAAAAAAGATAGAGTACATGATGCTGAAGTTGATCATGTCACAGAAAACAAAAAAAGTCTATATAAGACATTATTGTTACAATGGAAAAAATTTGAATATGTATTGGTGGTTTATATAATACTACTGTATCATTGTTTCATTTCCTTATCTTATAATTTTATTTAAATAACTTATTTAAGTAACTTTATTGTGCTTATTTTAGTGTCTTATATCTTAGGAAATTCACATGCAAGTAATTAGTAATAGAGGGGAATGATTTCACGGTCTCAAGCATTTTTCATATATATGAAAGTTGAAAAAGAGAGGTAGGTACAAAGAGAATATTGAAAAAAATGGAGCAAATATTCTTTAAATGGTGATTATGGGAAAGAATACCCATGAATTTGTGGTTCTATCCATATAATTTTTTAAGTTTGAAATTACATGAAAATGAATAATTTCTCCCTTTTTAATGGAACTGTTTACTTTGTTCCATAATATATTGAATACACACACACACACACACACACACATATAAATTTGCTTTTGATTTTTACAACACCCTTGTTTTATAAAATAATATTTAAGCAGCAGTCTTACAATCCTAAAATAAGGTGTGGTATAATTTGTGTACACATATATTTAGGAAAAAAACGTGGAGATATACATATACATATATATATATATATATATATATATATATATATATGTTTTTGTGTATGTGTGTTTGTATTGTCACATTTAAAAGTACTTATTTAAACATGGTTATATATTTAGCGTAAATAAAAGTCAATATATTAACATACACAGAGTAAGATGTGGCATACATAAAAGGAAAACATGACCAAGTGCTCATGTACTGCCTACAGTTAAAGATTTAGTGTTGTCAGATACTTGCACCTACTTACAATAATTAATTTGGAATTTAAAATAATGAGAATATAAATAATTCCTCAAAAGAAAGACAGGAAAATAAATAAGCAGAATATTAAGTGTAGTAGGAAAACATTTGTGAAAATGTAGGAAAAAAATTTAACTGAGGTCAGGATTTACTTGTAAGACAACTTCACAACTTGCAAGTTAGAGAAATTGAGAGAACTTGCTGTTCCTACAAATGATCTG